ACGCGCTGGATCAGCTGCCGCGCCTACTTTGCCGTCAATTATTATTCACGAGCACGAAGTGTAGACGACGGCAATGCTGGGTCTGGCAGCTTGAAATGTCTGTTCTCTCTTAGGTAATATATTAGCAAACTCTCTGGTAAGGAAGACGACTCTGATCAGCCCCTGAACTGACCCGCTATAAGACGGGCATTGGGACTCCCAGAAAGACTCGCCTCTTTAAGAAAAACCGACTGGAGGAGGTGCGCGCCGGAGATACCTACCTTCTGGGACGGAGGATCACCGGCAGAGTGACAAGGAGCCGGCGTCGTCTCCGCCATCAGGAGGGACACCGTGGTACACTTTCTGAGCTGCCCATGTATGTACAAAGCAAGACTCGAAAGGAGCGACTGGTGTCAGTGGAAAATCGACTGTTCAGTACGGACTCGCCGGCGGAGGAATGGCTAATTTTTTTCTGTTAACATCGAGATCTACTTAGACATGCGTCCACCTGGCCTGGCTGTCAACTGTATACATCTACCTACGCATGGGGATTCATGCACAGAAGTTGATTTTAAGTGGGAAAGCGGACAGTCAGTGCGCGCAAGACAGATGGCGTAGGCATAAGGGAGGGCATACGCGTTTATCCCGCTGGAGGTTCAAATAACCAAACCAAACTCCCAGCGACCCGATCCTAAACGCCCCATAGGACGACATTTCCTAGGTTCAACAAGTATTTTTGCCGGAAATAAAGACCATCGCTTGTCAACTGCATTAGGTCTCAGACTACCTGAAGAGCACCGCTGAACCGCAGCCCTAACAATCGTATCACACAGCGACAGACAGCTGACGAACCACTTGTCGATGGTTAATATCTGCGGTGAGTTAATATCTTCTGGTCGCTCTTTGACTATATTTTTGCAGAGGTAATGGCGCAAGAAACGTTACTGACGAAATCCACCCGCAGTTTCATGTGAGCTCACTGCTGCCCGGCATTACTCGGTTCCAAGTGACTTATATTACTTTATGGTTGTGTTAGACCCATGGGTGGGGGACGGGAATATGGACCAACCTACTACAGATGACCCTGCCCTAAATTCCAGGGGGGGGGCGTTAGTGTTATGTTTAGTGTTAGGGTTGGGGGAGGGGGTTCGGATTAGGCCTATGGTTAGTTCTAGGTGTATGAGGGCTAGAGTAAGGAGGGTTGGGGTGAGTATTGTGCTTTCAGTCTGTAACGACCAAGCTGTGGGTGTGTGAACTCACTGTGCTACAATCATCAGGTCAAATCCAGAATGGGGGGTTTATTACTCACAGAACTCCCGGTTGGGTCGGATCTTATTTCGTAGCAGTACCTGATGTAGACAAGCACCAGCCTAATCCCTTACCCTGACCCCAACCCTATCCCCTAACAGGTGCGGTTACGAAATAGGATCTTGTCTTGGGTTGTCCTCTCAGGCTGCAGTGGCCGCCGACGAAGCCAGGGCTGGTGTTGACTGCGTCCTATCATGACTGAGCGTCTCTAGGACAGTGGTGGCAGCCTCTTTTATAGGCTCGTGCACCAAGCTCAAGTGGTCTGCAATCGGTGTGTGTTACATTTACCGAGGGGTGGTGTCCCAGTGGCTTAGGTTGTGGTTGCAAATGGGGGTGGAGGAGGTGCGTTCAGGTGGCCGCATACGCAGCTGCGACTGTGTGGAGGCGTCTGCGTCCGAGTTAAAGTGGTTCGATTGGCTGCAGGTCAGTGCGTCTGGAATGGCTCACTGCAAGGGGGTGAATGACCTTGAGGTAGCGAGGCCTTGGACAATGACACCAGGCATAGTCATGATGGCTGCCCACAAAAAGTCCACATTTGAATACAAGAATATGAAGCCACAGAAATTTGGTGTCCGACTGCCTCTAATACTCGGGGCAGGGAACCGGGACCTCTTTTCAGACATAACACCTGATAGGGTTTGCTTTATCCATTCCAGTTCTTAGTATCTCGTTGTTTTTTCCGGGACCAGTTCTGGCATCCCCGATCTACGTGGAGTTGTGCCTTTATCGAAGCGCGTTCCACCCCCTATTGTCATGTGACTTCACGAATGCGTCGGTCGTAAATCGGTCATGAGAGCTTGCTATCTTGGCAACAATGCTAGAGAAGTAAACTTTTCTTCGCAGACAATCCACTCTGCCAGGCACTATAAAAACAGACAGGTAGACTACATCATGATCACCGGACACAAAACCAACATCAAATGTCATCTTGAATTGGGTGTGCTCCCTTCAAGAAGTCAGTTTTACTCAGTTCTCTGGCCGATGAATGGAAGACGGCGAAATCGCAACATTCTCGGTTTTATGTGAATCTTCAGCAAAAGGATCATAGTCTGACACAGTTCGACCTATTGAGGCTGGTTTTACAGTTCACTTAAGATAAATATAATATGGTCCGCCAGTCGAGGGAAAAACAGAAACAGCTGTCATTGGGATTGCTACAACTTGCACTGCTGCCTATGTAAAAAAACAGGAATTTGGAGTTATTAAATAAAATTTCCCATGTCATTCAGTGTAGCTTGCCTTTCCTAGACCTAAAGTGATTGACCGATCTCATGGAATGTTGGTCAAAATTCTGGAATGCGTTTCCGATTAGGAAGGATTACTTTAGTGGCGTTGTTATACTGATTATTGGGCAGCATAACCCTATAACATTTCGGACTTGCCAGGATGTCGGCTTTTGAATGAGCTTCTTTTTGACCTGCTGAAGAAACCACACATGGAAAAATGACTACTTAAGTAGCATGCATATACCCTCTTGATTTTCAATGGTTTTATAAATTCAAATTTATTATATGGAAAAAGGTACAAAAATATGCTTTCTTTTGCTCATTTGGTGGGAAATCGCATAGTCTTCGTATTTTATGCCCGGTGGAGGTGTATATTGAAGTGTTAAAAAAGTTTCTAATTAAGAGATTTTTAAGACCGTGCGATGCCCATGCATGCAAGACCGCACATGTCCGTTTACTTATGCTCCCCATGAAATGTACAACACGGCCCGGATCCATTAAAAAAATTTATGAAATCTATATAGTATCTTCTTAAAGGCATAGAGGAAGATATGATTTTCCTTACGCGGAAGGCATGCACCTTGTAGACTGAAATTGCTGAACGCTGATGCAATGGCAGATCAGGCCGGAAATTAGATGGGAATCGGTGATCTTTTTCAAAACCTAAATATACACTTTCTACCATATAAGATATAAAGCAGTGTGATTTTCCCCCAAATAAGCAAGAGAACACATATTTTTGTAACTTTTTTCCATAAAATATATCTGAATTTATAAAACCATTGAAAATCAATAGGAAAAATTGTATGCTACTTAAGTAGTCACTTTTTCCAAGTGTAGTTTCTTCTGCAGGTCAAAAAGAAGCGCAGTCAGACGCCGACATCCTGGCGAGTCCGAAATGTTACAGGGTTATGCTGCACGATAATCAGTATAACAACCCCATTTAAGTGATTCCTCCTAATCGGAAATGCATACCAGAATTTTGACCAACATTTCATGAGATCGGTCAAGCTGTATTTTGTTTAAAGTACGAAGCACTGGCAGTGACCTTTTCACGTAATCAAATTCCAAGGTCATGAATTTCTGGTGATATTGTCTCATCCGTTAAGCAGACTAAGGTGGTTGTGGTTAAAAATCAGCGGTGGTCGTCATGAAGGTCCCTGAAAATTCAGAATTCCTGATTTTGTACAGGACCGACATGAAGGATACAGATAAAGCTGAAGTACACCTTTTATAGGTCTTCTGTCGAGTGGGGTTTTTTTGAAAAAAAGCTCCGAACCAAGACGTCCTTGAGGTTTAACAGGCCGCCTTTCAGATGTCATTTTGAACAACCTTTTACCGAGTTGCCATCCACAAGGTCATTTGAACAGTTAGTCTCAGCTGACAAATGTCACCTCCAGTCGTGTTGTCAACCAGAAAATGATGTCACATTCTGAGAGGGCGGGTAGTTTATTGGCAGCTGTTTAAAGGGTCTTTCTGAGAGAATAAACCTCAATCTTTAATATAAATTAAGTATCAGTTTAGCAAGTAAATTTCAGCAAATACTGCGATAAATGGTTTTATCAAGCAGGCTAGGTTGGTGGCGAGACAGCACCTTTGTATGTTGTAAGTGATAGGATCTAAAACTTTCAGTTTTTCTATGAACATGGATGTTGCATTTGAGCGAGCTGTGAGCAGCAACACAATTTTCGGATTCTCCACACAGTACCGAATTAGCATTATCTTCATTTGGCAACTACTAAACCTGAGCTGACTCTCCAGTCTCCCTTTACTTTGTCGACATTCTTGCTTCCTTTATACTGATCAGACAAGTGAACATCTGATAGACAGGAACGTCAGCCCATTAACCAATGAGAATGCACACCGTCATTAGATGCGTGCCTATGTCTCTGAGAACTGACACGCCACATCGGGTAGCCTAAATTTCCCTCTTCTGACGAAGAAACCCATGTTCATGCCAGTAATGCGGGCGTACGTATTCTCTTGGATTTGGAGCTATGACTGGCACTAAGTAAGCCATGCCATACCTGAAGGTGTGTCGAAGTTGAGGCTACCGCAGTAGGATGGTCGACAGCCTAAAGGATCCCAAATCAGAAGGCAGGGAGGCCAGTAAGGTGGACAGGGCTTAATGAGGCGAGAGAGTGTACACGCAGCACTGCAAGCAGTTATAGCCAGCGTTCTCATCAGACAAGTGTCGGCCGAAATGCGTGCGCCCGAACTTCTTGCAACTGCAGCCAATCGGTGGAGAGAGAAATAACTTTCAGCGTTGCGGGTTATGAAGGAAGGAGATGATGGCAACGTGAACTCTGATTGGAAGATCTAGTCTAAAAGACCTTGCATTTCAGAGTGGACGGGATCGGGATGAAGAGGCATACGGGACATAGGAAAAGCAGCACGGGTGATAAAAAGATATGAGTTTATTCGAGTATACAAAAATGGAAAACTAATAAACGAGGCTACGGAAAACGAAAAATACAATGGAACTACTTATCGGGAGGAATCGGAGGTTATTCGTCGGCACGTGGCTTCGAAGGCGTAGCTCCTGCAAGGTAAACGGAAAAAGAATACCTTTAGCGTGACAGTTTATTAAAACACTCAAGGTTGGGTCTCTGGTCAGATCTCCGGCTGTTACAACCGCTACACCTATGAATATTTCCCGTCATAGCTGAACGCCGTTCACGGCCTTCTCAGTTGCAAATAATGCAAATGCAATGTTAGACAGCATCAAATAAACTCGCTCTTGATCGTGGAGTATGATATGCTAACAAAGAGAGCGGTCAGTTGAATCTGAGATTAAATCGGTCAACAAACTCTAAATGATAAGCCATGAAAATATCGCGGCATCCCAAACACCTTTCGTGGAAATGTAACAAACCGATGGGTAGCTTGACTCACCAACACTAAAAGGTAGTGTGTGGCGGGCCATTAAAACATTTTTGATATCCGAAAACCCGTGCATTAAATGTGCATTTGTACAGCAGGAACCAACTCCCAAGTCGCATGCGCTTGAAGGGGGGGGGGAGGGGGTGAGCTGTCTGGTCCAATCTTCCTGCTGCTGAAACCCAGCGGGAACTGGAAGACTGACGTCGAGAGTATGCAAGACACACTCATGGTCTCCGTTCATGGCACACTATCGGCCTTCGACTGATGACCTTCCATGCACTTTTTGACTCGTCGTCAGGTGCTCACTCGTCGGTACACACGCCCCGTGGAGAAGTAACAATCGGCTGAACTCGACTGACAGAGAGGTGCTATAGGGAGAAGGTACCATGCCGCCTTTCTGTCAATGCCCGCACTCCTAGGCGAAAAAACACGCGGTTGGGGCTGTGTGTATTTGCCTCAGATAGAGCGATCATGTGGACTTAGACCCGCGCCCAACCATGGTGCTTTTTTTCGCGAAGGTTGGAAATATGTGACGAAAAAACTCGCTAGATTATGCGATATGCAGATGAAGGACGCTAGTGCAGATTGCACTGTTTGGTCAACATTAAGACCAATGGCTCTATGAAGTTAATAAAAGCGGCCTCTCCAAATTTTGTGCCTGATTACATGTCCGCGTATTAACCTGTGGACGATCGAGAGTGATTGCACAACAGAGCCTGCCTACTGAATAAAACCTTGTGGATTACCAAGCATTCTTACACCTGCCTGCGTAGTGAGATCACATACCCTAGTTGTGTAATTATTTACCATACTGACAACACGGGTACTAGCTAAAGGCCCGGACATGCGTGCTTTGTCGGTCTTATGTCCCTGCCTGACGCAGCTACTAAGGGGTTTGGTTCACCAGAGAGTCCCCCGGCCCTCCGCTTATGTCTTCTGGTGTATAAACTCCACTTTCACTTTGCCTTGTTTCATCTCCGAGGTCGTTAATGGACGAACTTGAAGTAAATTCTTCGGAACTTTTTGAAAAAGAATAAGCCGCAAATTTCAGCGCCAGGTGGGATAAATATAGAACGTTAAGTATTTTGGCTCTGTTTTCGACTAGAAAATCATAGCGTACGATGTTTTTTCACGGGGTGGTGGACAATACGTGCGCGATGGAGGCGCGTTTCAACGACAAGTAGACAATTGGGGGGGAGTTTCGTCTGATGTCTCCGTACATCGTTTGACGTTTTCGTGTACTTTTGCCGTTTGTCCCCACAAAATGCTGTCGTTTTCGCAGCCATTCACATAAACACTTTGCAACAGTGTTCTAGAGAAGTTCGTGGGCACCAAACTCGTAAGCTCTTGCTTCGTGTGAAAAACGACATAGACAATACTACGGGTGGAAACGAATACGACTGTTTACGTTTAAATTTTTAGACTAAGGGCGACAGAATTAGTACACACTAGTAAAGTGTGCGTAATAGTCAATGACATCAGCTGCCAAAAGGTCTGTAAGCGTCTGATATGGCATGGTCGGCTAAACATGAAGCTTCGTGCCGTAAAACCTGCATCTGATCCTTCGTCAGCTCCTTTGATGACAGGTTGTGCACCCGTTTGTCGTTTCTGGGCGACGTTGGATTGGGCAGCTTTCGAAATTTGTTCTCCAGTGCTGCGTCGCGTATCATGCTCTGTTCGCGGGCTTGTTCAGCTATCCTCCGCAGGAGCAGATTCATACCGATCTCACCCATGAACTCACAGCATCTGGTCTTTTCTTGGTCAATCCTTTGACCGTACTTACGAAGTCTCGTGTGGAAATCTTGGAGGAGCACTCGGATCATGCTTCTGCTGTGCTGAAATACTGCTCGTCTCGCCAAATCCGTGTTAACCGGCCCCTTGTGCAGCAACCACCCGTTTCTGCTTTTTTGTCTCTGATGATGGATTCGAGTAGGAATCCGAAACGTCAGGCTAATAAAGCTCTTGTCCCGGCGATCGTGTTTCCTTCTTCAGGTCTGTAAGCGTCTGATATGGCATGGTCGGCTAAACACGGTACTTGCAGCTTGGTGTGCGTTGGCAGTTCTCCGGTACCTGGTTCTTTGGCGGTAAATGCGTTTCCGCTGGGCAGATGGCTGCCCAGTCATTCACGTCTTTTCTGTCGAGGTTGTTGTCGGACAATATCCTAATCAAGTGTTTGTTGTGGACCAGAGGGTGTGGAGTGGAGTGCCCAGTTGTCCCAGTATCAGCCATTTGCGTATTCATGACAGAGGGATTCACCGCAATGTCAGCGTGACAAACTTACCTCCTACTTACCTGGGAAACCCATCTACAACCAGCACAACCAACTCCGCCACTACTAATTCAACAGACACAGTCCTAAGCTTGGCCTCACTGCCACCGTGCATCGTGAAGCGGCTTGATCGAGCGCTTGCAAAGCATCGTGTTGAAACTGGCGTACAAATACCGGGGTCTTCAATATGCACCCTTCACACCTGGCTTGCCGGCCACCAGTGGTCCGGGGTCATTTGGTCATCGCATGGGCCTATTTGGCTATATGCGTCTTCATGCACATCTTCGATAAAACCATACCACAGATCCTATAATCACACCTCGCCATACCTGCACACACACACATTTTTTAGGCCACATGATGACGTCCTCAATGTCACACGCCACATGCCTCTTGCCGACTGCAATCATGTCATCTGCTTCATCACCACCGGTATGGCTGTCGCAAAGTTACATTTTTTGATGTGTCATGTTAAATGACGCAATCAAGCGATGTGCAAACGGGCTGTATCATTCTGTCACCCGCCGTGCTCAGTTTATTCACAAGCTGGTTAACATACTCGGGCAGTTGACCGGGCATGAAAGAGGGAATAGAATGTGTGCCTGACGCTGAGGAATTCGGCCGCACGACGAATCAGCGAATCGATCGTGGAGATCAGCGATGTCCACCATGTGCTACAGAGCAAGGTGCAGCAGGCACGGTGATCTGCGCGGGAATTCGTTTATAGTGATGGTAGACCTGCGAAGAATTTGTCGCACCTGGTCTCAGTGATGACAGAGCCATGAAGACCGGAAACGGTAGAGGGCGTAGGTTGCTGACACGGTCAAAATCCTCACGTAGGCGTACAGCCCCACCCCCTGGCCCACAACATACACTAACTAGGATTTTACGCCGCAAGATAAAAGGGGGTGGGAGGATTAGGATTAGGGTTCGGGGTTGCGTTACAATTAGGGCATTATAATAGGCACCACCCCCTGCCCCATGGAATTTAACGCGAGGCGACCTGCAGTTTGGGGAGGGGGGGGGTGATCCATACCCCCATGCCCGACCCGAACGACCTGTCACATTCCGCTCGTAGACTGTCTTATCGTCCAGATGGTCGACGCGACTCTCCGGTGCGAAGACATCCTCCAGCCAGTTCTTGCCTAAGGTACTGATTTTCGTCGGGCAAACTTCCTGGAATTTAATATTCTTATCGCCTGCCGCGTTCCCACTCTGGTGACTGCCAGACGCACAATGCTCACAGGTCAAGTCGTGCGATTCTTCACAACGGACGGCGTTTCAATGCCTTTCGGGAGTTGACTGTCCTTTTTGACTGTGCATTGGTTTGTGGCCATTGAGAATCACAGCGTCAGCCATCTTGGAAGATTATCACATTGCACTGGAAAGCTCTTTCTGCGGTCTGGCAATTGCATTTGTTGGTTTTCGGCCTCGAAGATCGAGTCTGTGGTCTGTTTAGTGTACCTGATCGTACTGCAACTCTCTGCCAATTCTGTATTTTCAGGTCACAATTAAGGTCTATTGAACCATGCTAACAGTAAGTGGGTCAACTCATGAAATGTCGACCGAAATTCCAAAATGCGTTTTAAATTCGGAAAGATTAAATCAACAGGGTTGTAAAATAAATCATCATGCAGCATAATTCTATAATAATTCAGTTAACACAGAATGCCGCCTTTCGAACGAACTTCCTTCCCGCTGTATGAAAAAATACTCTGTAAAAAATAACTACTTAATTAGCATGCATCGTTCTCATTGATTTTCCATGCCCCGAAAAATGCAGTCATATTTCATGGAAGACGTGCATAAAATATTCGTTCTTTTACTTATTCGATGGAAAGTTACGTCCTCTTCCGAGTTTAAACTTAAAGAAAGTGCATAACTCGGTTTTCAAAAACTCTTCCAATCCCCGAATAACTTTCAAGCCGACCTGCCGTTACACCTGCATTCAGGGTTTCCTAACTACAAGCCGTATATTTTCACGTACGGAAAACCATACATCTCTCTACGGTATTAAGGGGAGACCATATGGATATAAGCAAATCTCACAATTAGAAACATTTACAGCCACATTATGACCCTCCGTCGAGTATAAACTTGGAAGAAGGCAAAATTTTATACCGAATGTGTAAAAGTATGAATATTTTTATGCATGTTTTGCATAGAATATAATTTAATTTTTAAGGATATCAAAAATCGATGAAAATAATGCATGCTACTTAAATAGTCGTTTTTGCAGAGGATAGTTTTTGCATGCATCCGGAAAGAAGTTCGTTCAAATGTCAATTTCTTAAGGTAACTGCATGTTGATCAATTTTACAACCCTATTTAATTAATCTTTTCGAAACGAAAACGCATTTCGGAATTTCGGTTGAAATTTCATGAGTAAGTCCACCTACTGTAAAAAATTGTGTCACTGTCGGCGTTATAGGACAATCCGGAAATTCTCTCCTCTACTCATTGCCTTGTATCGTCCATTTTAGTCCGTTTTCATCTCTTCAGCTGTTCTGCTGAAAGAACCATAAAACCGGCTTACTGTGTTTCTCTGACTTCTGCATCTGCTCTTCACGATCCGTTCTCGTCCCTCAACTGCATCGCGAGCTTATTCTAATTTCAAGGGGGGTTAAATGTAGGGGCAGCGTTAAGGCAAGGGCTCGTAGAGGTAGAGTCATAAGGATTAGGCTTTGCGATATGATTTGGGGGCTTAGGATTAAGCCCAGGTTTAAGAGAGAAGGGGTTGAAGTTTAAAAATTGGAATGTGTACCCCCGAAAATTGAACGCAAGGCAACTTCTAGTACGGAGAGCTATTATCCCACTTTTCTCAGAGAAACCATACAAATCACACAAAGTTAAACTTGTCCCGCTAGCTTCCCATTGAAAAACTCGAGCCGCCAAGGAACACCGCACACGAACTCTACTACCTTACCAGTACACGTGGTTATTCCTCATTTTCAACATTCATGAGATACAATTTTTATGGTACCGGAAGGAGGTGTCAAAACGTTCAATTTTGTAAGCAAACCGGCCTACTATTTATGAGGAGATAGTAAGTACTAGGTGCGCGGCTGTTTGTGTTTCCTTCGAAAATCAACGCGAACGCAAGCAGTCTAAACAATGTAGAAGCCGATCTTTCATGTTTTATCTTACCGCTGTCATCCTCCTTTGTTTATTCGATCAGTTGCATAGGTGTGTGTATAGTTGTGCGTCTAACCATGTTTGCATGTCAAAAATTAGTTCCTGTCAACCCTGACTGAAGTTTGAATGAGATGCCAAGTAGTGTCTATCTCCCTTTTGCCAGAGAACCGACGTATCCGGACTGCATTATCGCACTGCAGGCGGACGATTATTGCATGAATAGGCAAAGTTTAGTAATAAATAGAACGCAGTGAGCGTCAATGAAAGATGGCTTTATTCAAGGGTCACACCAGAGTTTTGCCGTTAACAGGACCTACCTTGTTTCCGCTGCCTAATGGCCTGCGTGTTGCGTGCTTCACCAAGTGGTCAACGGCCTTACGGTCTAGGGGAACTGTTCGATGTCTCTGTCCGCGGGGGGCGGGATGATGACAATTCGACCGTCGCTGCCGATGGTGATTTGTGCGTGAGTTAGTCCAGTTGATAGTGGACTTGCGTTGCATCTACTGCAAACACACTCCTCCATACTCATCTGGGCTCGGTGTCAGGTCAGACTTAAGCGTAAAAAGGGAAGTAGCATCAAAGGTTACCATGACGCCGCTTGGCAGAAGGCTGACTCCTTTAAATTTCTCCAAGAAATACGCTGAAGAAATGACTCTAGTGTCTGAATTTACGGTCAGAAATTTGAGGCGTTGGAACAGCCATTTTGGCAGTCGGGTGCAATATCGCCGAGAGCCCAGGACACGGTCTTTGCCCTCTGAAAGGTGTACAAGGAGGGCCCCCCCTTCTGACCCATGGTCTCACCTAAAGCTACCCCAAATTGCGGACTGGCGAAATGGCTGTTCAAAGCCCCAATTTTCTGACCGCAAATTCAAGCACTACAGTCAGTCCGTCAACGCAATTCTTGGAGGAACTTAAGAGGATAAGCCTCCATCCAAACGACGTCATGGTATCCTTTGGTGCCACGTCCATTTTGCTTCTATTCCTCGGGACCTGGCAGTCGAGACACAGTTGACCGAGCACGCGGCAGCAATGGGACTGAACGACGGCAACTGCCAATTTGCGGTCCAATCGACGAGACCCAACCGCACATTCGAATTTGACGTGCAGAAATTCTTACTAGAGGCGACAACCGCGTGAGCCCTGAACTGCTCGAGTCCTCAATCAATAAACGTGCACAACGCTCTCCGCGCTCCATATTCGGCGCTGAGACTTAGCCTAGGCAAAGTAGTTAGTCGCGAGGAGAAAATGCGGATAACCCCTGCTTTTCGTACCAATAACGGTGGGCCAAATCACCCAAGAGTCCACACTGAGGACGAAATCCGGTATTCAGCCCCTCGGCGGCGTTCGATGAGCGTGGGAGCCGATAGTCTTGACTGGTATACAGGGCCATAGCAACTGCATGGCAGCGACATATTTAAA